TTTCGGGGAGGGGGGGGGGGGGCGGACTCTTCCCTTGGGTTGGGTTTAAATCTAGCTATGTACTCATAATGAGCGAATCCTTTAAAAAGTGTGTCCCTTACTGTATGGCCAAAGCTGATAAAGTTCCCATGTCACAATTACACCGAATGTCTAAATGTGCTGTTAAACAGTCATGATCTGTGAACATCTAGTCAATAGACAACCATAAACTATTTTCAAACAGAACGTTGGAGTCAGTTGACTTTGAACTTGAACTCAGATTTAAAGTACAAAAGTAGATTTTTCTGCACTCATTTTCATCAGCAATGCCTAGATGCCATTTCCACAGTGAACACAGATCCATCACCAAAGATTTGACATTGGTTATAGTAAACTGTCCATCACTAAAAATTCCTGCTTATAGTATTCTTAGACCTACAAATCGTAAAAAAAAAAAAATATATATATTTATACACTTTTTAATAAAAAGTTCATTGCACAAATATTGAGAAATTTTTTTTTATACTTATGTCAAAGAAGAATGACTAAATTTTGCATTACAGAACAAAGAAATAGGGGTATTCAAGTTTTATACTTTCACTGTTGCAGTCACAAGTTCGTACATTAAAAAGGCAATGAGGACATAAGAGTAAGATTATAAAAATGTGCAACCAAACAGAACTGCAAACAATAATAAATAATAAAAAAACAAGTTGGCATTTTGGATTAAACAAAATATGAATTTGAGCATTTCAAATAGTGCAGGAACAACAAAGCGATGGCACTACATTTGATTTTTTTTTTATACCAGTGTGTAACTCCTTATATGTTTAATCACAAATGGCATTGAACTTACTTTTGCAAAGAAGCCTTTGAAGAATTTCCTTTCCTGGAGGAACAGGGGAGGGGACAAGTCGAGCACTATTATTGCTGGAAGCTATAAAATCTCCCAAGGTTTTAAATCAACATGCATCAAAAACAGGGCAGGACGCATTAGTAAATGCTATAGAGGAGCAAGCAAATCACATCACTCCTTATGTCCATGCACTGGAAATAAAGGGTTAAAAAAACAGTAGCTGGAGGCAGGTAAATGAAGCCAGGAAAAGAGTAGTAAGTTGTCACCCTGCCATTTCCCATGCAATTAAAACAAACAAATGCCTAATCTGTACACCTTCAAAATTTAGTTAGCAACTTGGCACTTTACAAAATATAAGCGTTTTAGTTAGTTCACTCAGTGCTGTGTCAAATGGGAAAAAAAAATTGCATTGTGTCAGAAATTATAAATTTCTTGCCATTGTTGGTTAGTCACAACTTTATTAGCCATTCGCAATGACATAATATTGTTGTACTTCTTTTGCTGGGGATCTAAACGAGAAGCTGACAAGGGCTTTGGCGACCAATATAAACTGACTCTAATTTACAGGTTACACATGTGTATTCCTACTTGAATCTTGGTGTGTTTTGTATATTTCTTTCAGACCTGTGCAGTAATACAGTGTGAAACTTTGCCTATGTGCAGGAACTTTCTGTGATAAAGAAAGGTCACTGCTGGTCTCTTTGTGCAGGGTGACTGGCCTTGTACCCACCCCTCCAGCTTGCAGTGGGTGGGGCCTTCTACAGCTCTTCTCTTTGCACAGGGTATGCACAGCGATGATGCCACTGCTACTTTTAAGAAGGCAATAACTAGGTTTGTAAAGGCATATATTTGAATGCTTGAAATTTAGCTTTAAACGTGTGTGTGTGTGTGTGTGTGTGTGTGTGTGTGTGTGTGTGTGTAAGTAACTTGAAGCAACTGTGATTCCATGCATATTTGTGCAAAGAAATTTTGCTCAGCCAAAACTTTATTTGGCCTGGAATAGAGCAATGAAAGTTGAAACTGGCTGAAATACAAACTGTGTGTGGCCCTGGCAGCACCTCCCAGCTCGATAAATTTTTTTGAAATTAGATGGGCAAAAAGTCACAGTTCAAATGAAGTGTGACTGCGGCCAATCAGCTTTAGTAGTCACTGTTTAGGTATTCCGACAGCGGAAATAGCTGGTTGTTAATATAGAATAGACCGGCAGGGGAGATTCGTCCAACTGAGCTGTTTAGTGTGGATGGAAGAATCCGTTATATTCCTTGCCAGCTGAACAAAGGAAATCTGTAAGTGTATGGCCAACTTTAGAGACCTGGTCAGCTTTTTTTTGCCATCTGTATTCCTATTGGTGGTTTCCCCTTACTTCCTATCAAGGCAGGAAATGATAGGAACTCTCTACAACAGAGACATAGATAAAAACAAAAACACATTATTTGGAGGGGTTTTTTCTATATCACTGAACCACTAACATTATATTAGAAGAGAGGAAAGAACCGCAATACATTGCTGAACGTAAAAACAGCATTCCTCCCATGGTCCTCAGCAAATGAATACAATATATAAAATGGACATCGTGTACCTCAAATGCAAATTTTCTAAAAGGTGCAACAGGGATTATATTATGCAAGTAAACACTCAAGAACTTGTAGAATTAATTTTCTGACACAATGACTGTATGATAGTAATGGTCACACTGGGCAAACCGCACACACCAGTGACCCATAGCATCCACACATTAGGTTTGGTTAGTTTTACATAATAATCACATTTGAATGAGCATCTGCTATGAGTTACCACAAAAGCGTGCGAGTTGTACCAAAATATAAACTTTAAGCTGTGCCAAGTTGCCAGTTGAAAGGAAAGAAAGATCAGTTTTAAAGTAAAGATTAAAAATAAAACCACCAAACAAGGCAGCAGAAGGTACACAAGGCAAAGCATGCCTAGCATCACTTATTACTATTAGAAGCTCCTTATAGTCACTTGAGGTTAATACCATTATATTTTTCTGTTCTAAATATTGAAATCCATCACAGCACTAAAGTCTGTAACAAATGTATTGCTACTTTCCTTGTTATCAGTATTATCGCAAAATCAGTGTTGAGAGCAATATGGAGACCGCCACAGCCAACCTCTTCCTGAAAACCTCAGCTGCCTGGCTACCATGCTCATCTGTTGGCTTTCATGGATCTGGAACACAGATGCAGCAAGTGAGGTCAGGAGGGAAGTCTGAACGTCTGACAGTCAGACTTTTTCTGCATCAGTGACCCAGTTGTGAAGCCAGATCAGCACGACTGCCAGGCAACTCGCATTTTTAAGGGTAGCAATGCAAAACTCATGTATTCTATACAGGTTTTTGTTAAAATGACACCAAACTCAGGAATTAAATCTTAAAAATGTATTCAAGTATCATAACTATTCACAAAATGTATCTTATCTGTAGATCCTCAATTCATCTCTGAATTCATACAGACACTGTCCTTCCTTCTGGTGTGTGGCTAATTTGGTTCCCCATGGTCCCTATGTGCTGTAAAGTTGTCACCGCTATGATATGAAGATCTACAGACAAGTGATACACGAATAAAAAGCATTTTTAAAATGCAATTGCTGATTTTAGGGTCACTTTAAATAAAAAGATAAAAGGTTATGCAACTGTTCCTTCCAAACGTCACCAAAATAAAGAGCATAATCATAGAAATGCTGCAAGTTGTATTGTGTGCACTAAACTATTAAAAACAGCCACTTCCTACTAAGTTATCTTGAAATGTACACTGCGCTGTTGCATTCATGCACATATGTGAGACAATATATCGTGCTAAAAATCAATCTGTTCTTCTCTATGTTGAACCACAACTGTGCCAATAAAACCCGCTTATTGCAGAGCCCTGTCCTGCAGAAAGACTTCTGTGCACGATGCTGTAATAGGACAGGCCTATGAAGTATTAACGCTGTATTCTCTCATTCCCCTTTATTGGCAAAGCAATAAAGCTCCCACAGCCCTGTCTAATGAGAATACAAGTATCTGGAAGCACTGTGTTCTAAACATCTTATCTGTACAGCATCATTAATTACATATGGCAATAAACGGGCAAATGTATTTTCATTGAATGGACGCTGCCACCAAACTAATGCAATCCACATATTTTGTATATGGAGCGCAGAAGTAAAGTAGTTTATCTGGACCAAGTGATGTTTTGGCTTTTAAAATCATACAGTGCAGCCTTTAGCACCTCACAAGTGAAAATTACAGAAGAGGCGGCATGTGAAGAAGGGTTTTAGTAAGAGACCTGATGATTTTTATAATCTCCGCTAAAAAAAAAGTGAGCATTCTAATCCTTATTTATATCCCATATGGAATGTCATTTGTGCCAATATAATATATTCTGTAAGGATAAATAGTTCTGTTATAAGCTATTTAGTTCAGTGAACACAAGGGTGCATTTTTTTAAACTACAATTACATTCTAGATGGTATTAGACACATGGCAGTAGTATGCATGATCAAACTTTTTATGAATCTGAGAAATACTTGTGCTTCCATTGCGGATCTGCTTTCCGAATATTCTATTGCCGTGGCTTTTATGATGACCCACTGGCTTCAAAGCTTTGAAATCAATAAAATAATCTGCAGATTGCTAGTTCTGATTTTACTTGTTCCAGGTCAGTGATTTGGAGGGTACTGAAACCAGAGATAGGCAGGCAACTGGCATCTTCAGAGGCAGCAAGCAGTGGGAGCTCACCTATCTATTTCAAGACGGGTGCCTAGTGCTCACTTAAAGAAGAACTCCTGGAAAAACATGTTTATTAACACTCGGCTACCCCAACACTGCAAGGGTTAACTGCTCTTTTTGGTCTAGGTTAAAAAAAATAAAAATAATCAATAGCTACTCACCCGAAGCTCCAAGCCAGCTTCTTCTTAGACTTGTCCTTCCAACGTCTCTCCCGCTCCTGTGCAGTGGTCTAAGGTCCCTTAAATCATCACATTCTATACAATGAGGGGAATTTATCAAAACTGGAGCAGACAAAATCTGGAGCAGTTGTGCATGGCAACCAATCAGCTTCTCTCTTTCATTTTCAAAGCTTAACTGAACAAAAGTAAGATAGAAGCTGATTGGTTGCCCTGGGCAACTGCTCCAAATTTTGTCTACTCCAGTTTTGATAAATCGCCCCAACAGTGTATAGAAAGTGAGGATGCTGAGGAAGATTCCAATGCTGCAGCAGATGAGACAGGCTGGAGGGAGTGCTGTGACAGCTGGCTTGCTCAGAGCTTTTGGTGAGTACAACTTTGTTAGTTTTGAACCTAGATAAAAACAAGCAATTAACCTTTGTGGTGTGGGGGTAGCCCTCTGCAAGGGTTAAGAATTTTTTTTCCTGGAGTTCTACTTTATGCAGTTTAGTCTATAATGTAGAAAAATAAATACATATACATTATATATATATA